ATTCGGTGTATGCTCTCTCATGCGAAATTGCCTAAGTCATTTTGGGGTGAAGCGATGAAAACAACAGTAGACTTGATAAATCTTTCTCCATCAGTTCCTCTTAAGGGGGATGTTCCCCAAAGAGTTTGGAGTGGGAAAGATGTTTCATATAATTACCTGAAAGTCTTTGGTTGCCGGGTATTTGTGCATGTTCCAAGAGATGAAAGGTCAAAGCTTGATGACAAGTCTAAACAGTGTATCTTCTTGGGTTATGGACATGAAGAGTTTGGCTATAGGTTATAGGATCCAGTTGCAAAGAAAATCATTAGAAGCCGAGATGTGATATTCTTTGAGCATCAAACCATTGAAGACATTGACAAGCTAGGGAGGCCAAAGAATGTAGCTCAACATTATGTTAGTTTCAGCCCAAGTCCTCCTACCGTATTGGGTGGAAATCACGAGGGAGAAGTACATGGAAATCACGAAGATGGTGAATCCTCACAAAATGTTGATCCTTTAGATGAGACAGGTGAAACAGTTGAGCAAGAATAGCCAGTTGAGCCAGTTGAGTAAGAACAGCCGGTCCTACCTCAGGTTAAAAGATCTGAAAGAGAACGTAAGCCCTCACAGAAATATCAGCCACATGAGTATGTGTTACTCACCGATGCAGAAGAGCCGAAAACTTATGAAGAGGCTATGTCATGTGATAAAAAAAACGAGTGGTATGAAGCCATGCAAGAAGAGTTCAAATCATTGCATGAGAACCACACATTTGAATTGGTGAAGTTACCTAAAGGCAAAAGAACATTCACAAATAAGTGGGTGTACAAGTTGAAGACGGAAGAAAGTAGTTTGCAACCACGATACAAGGCTAGGCTTGTCGTGAAGGGCTTTCGTCAAAAGAAAGGAATTGATTTTGAAGAAATATTTTCACCGGTTGTAAAAATGCATTCTATTCGAGTTGTTCTTGGATTGGCCGCCACCTTGAATTTAGAAATTGAACAACTTGATGTAAAGACTGCTTTTCTTCATAGAGAACTAGAGGAAGAAATATATATGGAACAATCGGAGGGTTTTATAGTCGAAGGCAAGAAGCATCATGTATGTAGATTGAGAAAAAGTTTGTACGGTCTCAAGCAAGCACCAAGGCAATGGTATATGAAGTTCGAATCATTCATGGAAGATCACGGCTATGGTAAGACCAACTCTGATTCTTGTGTTTTTATTAAAAGATTCTCGGATAATGATTTTCTTATCCTCCTACTCTATGTGGATGATATGTTGATTGTCGGACATGATGATAATAAAATCAAGAGTTTAAAAAATGAGTTGAGTATAGCTTTTGCAACGAAGGATTTAGGTCCGGCAAAGCAAATCCTTGGCATAAAAATTACTCATGACAAGTTGAACAAGAAACTTTGGCTATCTCAAGAGAAGTACATTGACAAGGTGTTGGAAAGATTCAACATGAGCACATGTAAACCGGTAAGTACTTCACTTGCTAGTCATTTCAAGTTGAATAATGACCAGTGTCCTACAAGTAAGAAAGAGAAGGAAGAGATGATGAAAATTCCTTATGCATCGGCCATGGGTAGTTTGATGTATGCAATGGTTTGTACAAGACCAGATATTGCTCATGCAGTTGGTGTTGTGAGTAGGTTTCTGTCAAATCCTGGTAAAGAGCATTGGGTTGCTGTTAAATGGATTTTGAGGTACCTTAGAGGCACTTCCAGATTCTGCTTGTGTTATGGAAATGGAATGCCTGAGTTGAGTGGCTATTCAGATGCGGACTATGCTGGTGATGTTAACTCTCGAAAGTCCACATCGGGTTACATGATGATTTTTGCAGAGGGAGCGGTTTCATGGCAGTCAAGATTGCAAAAGTGTGTTACTTTGTCTACGACTGAAGCGGAGTATATCACTATTACCGAAGGAGGTAAAGAACTTTTGTGGATGCAGAAATTCCTACAAGAGTTGGGCTTAAAGCAAGAGAAGACCGTTCTATATTGTGATAGCATGAGTCCTATCTATCTTAGTAAAAATCCGGTGTTGCACTCAAGATCGAAGCACATTGATGTGAAGTATCATTGGGTTCGAGAGAAATTAGAAGAGAAGTTTTTCTCACTTGAGAAAGTCCACACCGACGACAATGGATCTAACATGATGACCAAAGCCTTGCCCGTGATGAAACTTGACTCTTGTAGAAGCAAAGCGGGCATGATGGAACTTCCCACATGAGGTGGAGGGGGAGATTTGTTGACTGGGTCCACCTTATGCGGGGCCCAGTTAGTACTTAAACCAAAAATAAACAAAACAAAAGAAAGTCAAAAGGTGAAAAAGAAAGAACAAAAGAGGGGCTGCTTCGTGTGTGTGTGCCCAAGTGAGAAGGAGAGAGAAAAACAGAGAGTGACTTTACCGAGAGCTCACCAAGAAAGCAGGGGAAGCAAAGAAAGAAAATGAGCGCATCTTCGCGGCCCGATTTCGAAGGCTAAACATTGTCGGAATTGGCTCAAATTTTAGTATGTTGTTCGTGAGACCGAGGGCTACGAGTTGATTAGTTTCGTTCGTTGAGAATCTCCTCCGAACTCTCCATTCACGATTAGGGTTTTCTTCTCCGTTTTATGTAAATCCACCTTCGCGATGATGAAAATGATGTTGTAATGTTGATGTTGTGCCTCTAGTGTGTGACTAGAGAAGAACTTGGTGTATCCTACTATTCTTGGTGATTAGTGGAAGTTTTTTGGGCGGTCCGTGATTTTTCCCGCTTTGGGTTTCCACGTTAAATATTGGTGTCGATTGTTGCATTTGTTTCCTTATAATTGCGAGCTTATATTGCTGGAATATAGTGGGTTGTTGTTGGAATAAAGTCGATTTTGGTCGGTTTAGTTTCGAGAGAGATATTGATCCTGAATTGGCTTGGTTTTTGGTGAATTGTTGCCGCGGTTCTCCCCAACAGATATATATACACGCAAGTTGCCATACTAGTTCTCAGGCGGCTGTTTTTTTGCATTGATAATGACCCTTTGTCCACTAGTTTGACACGGTAAAACAACCCGTAACTCTATCTACTTCATTTTCATCTGAGAACGCGTGATCCTCTTTTGGCTTGGGCAAAGCGCGTGAGCGTATCTTTTCTTGTCAGCTGCTATGTCTGTAATTCCACGTCGATTTCTGCAGATATCAAAAGCTAAAAAAAGGGCATCGTGAAGATGATCGTTCGGGATGGCTTGCAACAAATTCTTTGGCGAAAGATGTTATTCTTGAGGAGATGGATGATCAAGATGATGAAACTTGATTACTCTGTAGGAATATACGATCCTATACTCTTGATAAGTCTCAAGTAAGTTTATCTCCACCATAGCTGGACAGCTTAAGTTGCTTGATATCTCATGACTGTTGCACTTCAGTAAATCCTTGGAACTGTGCTTTAGTGTCATGCTTACAAATCTTGCCCGCAAATGCATGACGATGCAAAGCAATTACATATTTTTTTCACAAAGCATCTTTTATGGTAAGTCTTCCATGCACGTGTCGACGCCGATCATAAGCCTGTCAAAGTTTGTGAAAGTCTTTCATTGGACCCGAAGGTCTGTTGAGGCGAAGGTGCGTAGCCTTACCCTTAATCCTTTTTACCTTCAAGTTAAAGTGAAACATCCTAACCATTATACCAAAGCTTAGGCACATTCAAGAATGAGTAGCGAAATTCCCCCAGGATAGAAACGGTGGAAATATTTGTTGATCCTTTTTTAGCATGACGAGGGGAGGTCAATTCTTGCCAGCTCGATGACTAATTTCTTGGTGATGCCACTTTCCTAGGACCCACCACGAGTATCTTGAGAATACCTCGAGGGGAATGAGTTATGACCCGGCCCCTGACCTTACGATTAGTCTAATGGTTGGAGTCATCTTGCGCGGAAATAATGTCGAGTAGGGTTGTTCCTTGATCACTTGAACTTGGGTGCGTTTGTTTGAGGGAAACCATTTTTTGGGAATTCGTTTTCTAGACTCTCAACCGTTTGGCTAGCCGAAAATAATAAATCAATCGAAAACACTTTCCGGTCGAGGAAAACATTCAAGTATAAAATACACTCTAAACTTTATGAAACGACTAAATACATATCGATAACTTATTTTATGAATAATTTGAGGAACAAAGAAACCGTTTGAAGTTCGTGTTTTTCAACTGAACACGAAATGCCAGCCTCCGCGTGATGGTTCGCCTGGCTTTTTTGACATGTTATTCACTTGCTGCAGCAGAACAAATTTTAGCCTGGCCAATGCGCCAAGGCATGCGAAACGGCACGGGGCAGAGACAACATTGGTGGTCCTTTTTTGTGAATTAACATGACGGAGGGATCAGCCAACAAAGATGAACATTCGTCTTCCTCTTTTGCCCCTTCCTTAGGTCTTCCCCATCACTGCCTTTCTGCCCTTTAACTCCTCTGTTTCCTGTGAGATTTCGATGCCCGGGAACTCTTCATCGACTGAGTCACTAAGGAATAGAAGCGAGTGTGAATTAGACGTACAATGCAAGTTCAATTCCTCATGACACAAGTTCAATAATTTCATACCTGAATTACCTATTCAAATTACAAGTCTGTTAAAATCAACGCGCTACAAATTCCATTGAAGAACTATTCAATCAAAACACAAGACCCACTTTGGGACCATTCATGCTTCCTTGCCTGATGATGATCAACCGAAGTACCCTGGAGGCAATTGACCCAAGAAAGGAAGGGATAGACTCAGCCAAGGAAAAGGCTGAAGAAGCAAGAATAGACAGACATAGCCCACCCACCAAGCAAAGCTCGATTCCAAGAGGCCAATGGGGTGAGAGCCATGTGCACAAAGTGACAGGCCACGAAAGAAAGAAAAAAAGGCTGAACTGAATTGTATGTCCGTCTCGGATCCATCCATCCTTACCAACTCAGCCTCACTTTTTCAGTTTCCCTCATCTATTTTCTGATGATAAAGGGTCCTTCAAGTCCAGCTCTAAAGTATTGTTTCACAGGCATGCCCCACAGAACCTGCATATGTACTTAGCTAACATGTGCTGATTAACTGATCATCCCGTTTTTATAAGGAAACTGATCACCCAACAATCACCTTCCATATGAGAAGATTTCCCTTACTTATACCGCTTCTCTCTATTATAGGATTTGCTATAAATCTGAGAGGACTTTCATCATTTCCCCAAGCTTCAGTGTGATTTCGGGGAAGACTCATTTGAGAATTCCTGCTCTCTGTGGCTGGTGGGTGGAGATCAAAGATGGGTCTCACTGGAGAGCGGGTGAAGAGTGTCTTCTCCAGAAGCCGACCCTCCTGTCTGCACGAGACCAATGTATGTTCTTCCCCTTGAAAATGCGTCTCGCTGTTAAGATCATGTCAGTAACTTGTGTTAGTCGCGATCTATTTGATTCTATCAGGCAAGAAGCGGTGTGGCCGAGAGGACGAGATGGAGCGTCGTGAGATCATACCTGTGCGGTGACGAGTTCAATTCAGTTCTGGCGGAGGAAGATTCTGCTTCTGTCAAGAGCTATGAAGCCACAATAAGCCCCCCGTTCGTAGAAACTGAATCAGACATCGATAGTAATGGAGAGAAGGAAAGTTTGTTGGAAAAGCAAAAGAATTCAATGTCCAGATTGTTCCATGAAGACGATGCAGCTATCATCATTCAATCAGCTTTCAGAAGATTCCTGGTGAGGCCACAATATCAAATTCTAGGATACAATCCACTAGCACAAAAAGTCTATCTTGGACCAGTGTTTTCTCGTCAGCAATGTCAATTAGGATAAGTTAGTTACAATCACCATTTGTGTTATAAGTGCTAAAACATCGGATGGATTACAAATTCAGGCTAGGCGTAAGAACATGGAAGATATATCAGTGAGTCTGAGCGAGCAATGTGCTGTATCGGCAGCAGAGAGCCCAAGCAAGGACTCCATCGGTACATCCTTGGAAGTTCAAACAGGAAAGTCTGTGCAAGTATTCGCAGTACAAGATGAGAAGTTGGCCTTCAGTCACCAGAAGCATAAACTCAGAACTCTAGTCTCAAAGCCAAAGGTAAAATTCATGGCCACAGTGGCTACTTCTTGTACGTACCTGCACCTTAACAGCCAGAAACTTCACCGTACATGTTTGTAATTAATTGGGCCATTTTACGTCAAGCACCGTGCCCCCACAGATTTTCACTATTAGATCGAAAAGCAAATCACACCCATTCGGACTTAAATCTGCCAAACGGCTGAGATCTGTCGAACGTCAATCCAACAGTCTATGAGGGCACCGGGCCCCGTAGGGATAATAGCCTGAGCCATTTTACCAAGATCATCATTGTTATTTCTCTTCCACTTCGGCTTGATTCTCGAATTCAATTAGTGACGAACGCATCCTGAGATGAACTCAGTTCCCAGAGAAGAAACCAAACTTTTTTCATTGACAATCCTATATCAGTACACATGAACACTAATATAAACACCTTTCGCCAGTTTTTATCAACATGAAATATATTTCCAAATCAAACGAGGTACACACACGTCTAAGTGTTGAAGAACCACAGAAGTTCCTTTCACACAGTAAGGTACCAGGACTCTAGAAGTGATTCGAAACTGATCCCGGCTCTCCCTAACATACTGTTGGACAGCAAAAACCATGCTTCAGAACCTCCAACAGTAATCCCAAAAGTTAAGGCTGTACTGTGTGTAACTTCTGTGCGCATCAATGTTGCAGGAAGAGTGGAACGATAGCACAGTAAGTAGCAACATATCGAAAATGAGGATTCAAAGCAGACTGGAAGCTACAACCAGGCGTGAGAGAGCTCTGGCATATGCATTCTCCCAACAGGTACATCCAACCAACCTAAAAAAACACGGTTTGACAACTAGAACTGGGCTCAATTATATAATAATCTACCTGTTTGTAGCTAAGGATTTGTTCTAAGAAGAGGCAAGCAAGAACTGAAGGAAGAGAACCCAACATGAGTTGGAGCTGGCTCGAAAGATGGATGGCAACTCGCGTTTTAGAGAGCCCATCAGTCGGAAGTCATGTGGACATGCAACTTCCGCCAAGGAACATAGTCAAGAGAAGATTGCTTGATGTAGCAGGAGAAGAAATTGAAAGTTGCGGATCTAACGAAGTATCTGTCCATCTCGATGCCTTGTCATTCAGAGCATCAGGGGATGGGAAGGACTTAAAACCAACTAGGAACAGGCCTAAAGCTACTAATAAGAGAAGCGTATCGAGGCGGAAAACAGTGCCAAGCCAACAATGTCCAAAGGCGTATGCAAAGGTATAACTTTTTTTCGAGTCTTAGCTCAGAAGAATTTATAAGGCACTTATATAGCAAATCGAGCACGCATGCTCCGGAACGTTCACAAATTTAGGAGCCAAGTAGCAGAACTAGTTTGGATGGTTCATTCGCAGTCAGAAGATTCGCGCAATATAAATATAATTTACTGCCAAGAAAAACCCTGTTTTTGCAGGTATCCAGGGAAGACTCACCAGATGATGTTCCAAGTGGAACAGACAGAAAGCGCAAGCAGCAAATGGAAAGCAAGAACGAAATCGAATGCGATGATTCAGAATCCTAGCAAACGCTTCCCAAATGCAGACAACACAGCGTCCTGGTGCTGGCAAATTAACCCAGCTAGACAAGTCAGTTCTCCGTTGGAATGCATCCAAGTATATACAGCAGTTTAAAACTGCCAGATGCCAACCCGAATTTTCTCTGTAAATGCATGAATCAAGTGCTTTCACATTATCATATGATTTGCTAGACATGGGCGTTTCATGACTGTTCTAATAAGTTCGATATCAGGCCTGAACCAACTTATGGAATCGAAAATACTCACGCAATTGGAATGCCTCTTTGACCAGTACCTGCTGTTAGGAACATCGATGAAAGAAAAGTAGAGGCACAAGACATTACAACACCATCATTCCCCTTCACTGTAGTGCAGGGGATAGCCAACTAATGCACGTCAAAATAGCACTATCGTGTTGCGAATGATGGGTGTCCTATCCTCAAGATTGTTTCACTTTCTATTTCCCATGAACCTGCAATTAGCTCACTTCACCTCTGTGACCCAAAAAAGAAGAAAAAACGGCACACATGACCAGCCGAATTGCCTTCAAACTCCCTAATCTTAACAAATATGAAATAAATACTCGCAGACGAATCTCCTAATACCTTTGCCAAGGGATCGATGTCCCTTCAAGTACAGAACTCCGTTCTCACAACTTAAGTGCCACCCAACACCAAAATGCATTAGCTTAAAGACCGGTGTTGGGATAACAAGAGAGGTGCAAGTATAAATCCTCAGGAACAATACTTAGCATAGAACCCTAAAGCAACAACACTTGCACGACAAGAAAATTTATGAAATATGGTGCATAATTCCAGTATTACACATGTGTTCACCCCACATCTGGGATCCACTTATAGCGCAAAATCTCCCTTTGGCCAATTCGCTACATTAAACACAGCTCAATAGTATGAAACATCCCACAACTAATGCAAACAGCTTCCAGCAATTGAAACAGATCATATCTTATCAATGTCCTCGTCCTCGAACTCGATGTAATCATCGCCGGGACCTTCTTCATCCTCCTCAAGACCCCCGGCGATACCCTCGTTGAGGCGGGTGCTCTCGGGGAGCTCTCCGTACGCCTTGAGGAGCCTGGCCTCGTCGGGCATGTACTTGAGGATCACGTCCGCCTTGTCGTCCTGGTAGTCGCGGAGGCCCACGAGTATGATGTCCCCCGCCGCGATCCACACCTTCTTGTGCATCTTCCCCCGGATGTGGCAGAGCCGCTTGGTGCCGTCGATGCACATGGCCTCGCACCGGCCGTTGCCGAGCATGCGGAGCACCTGGGCGTACTCCTGCCCGTCCTCCTTGAACACCAGCTCGCGCTTCTCGTCGTCGGCCTCGTTCTTACCCCTCTTCCGATTCTTACCTCCCTTACCCTTGTTCTTCGGCATGGCAGCAGATTCCCCTCAGAAAGCTGAGACACACGCGCACACAAAAAACCCAGAACTCAATCACACCTCATCGTATCACCATCGACACAAATCAATCAAAACAACCTTCGGGACGGCGGGTATCGGAGAAATACCAAAATCACGCCATCCGATATGCAAATCGGCTCAAAAAAATCAGAACTTTATACCCTAAACCGGTCGTGCTGAATCGATTGAAGCGCGTCCCGAGCTCGGAAAAGGGAAAGATGGAGGGAGAAATCGAAGATCGAAGAGAGAGGAGTACCTTCTGGAGAGAGGAGATTGCGAGCAGCGAGTGGATTGAGGATTTGGGGGAAAATCTACGCCAAGTCGTGAGCAACGCAGGGAAGCTTCCGAGCCCTAGGTTTTATAGTCAGAGTCCATGCGAGAAAGGATGTGAACGAGACGCTTCCTCTTGTCATGACGACGATGGTTCGTGGCGGAAGAAAGCGTAGGATGCCTAGTCGGTTTCGGAGTTGGCCGAATCTGGGCCCGGCCCAAAAATGTACCGGGCCGAACCTTGGAAGAAAGCCCAAATCAGTTGCTCCTCGCCTTTCCCGAACCAACCGTCAATTGGATGTGAATGTATACTGCAATCGTCGATTGGAGATGGTATCATATCATAATCATTTAACCTTACTACATATATCTGAAAATATAATTATTGGAAATAAGACATGTCCTCTCAGAATAAGAAATTGAAAGAAGGAAGGCACCCATATTGTAACTGGAATTTTGTTGTAACTTCACGAAGACGAAGTCAGCAAACCGCAACATTCTCTCGCAGCAACGGACGCTGGCTTCGACAGGTTGACGAGACATTTCGCAGCACATAAGCAATTAGCATGCCGGTAGCGTGACCGACGATACATTTGAGGCCCGATTATTTCCTCATCAAGATCAGCCAGGCCTCGACTTCAAATCTGATGGGTTCATGAGGCGATAAATGTTTTGAGAGCTTAGAGTTGTTGAAAAGAGGCTAACCATCTCTCCATCATACAGGGAACAGAGGCAGAAACATAATTGGTCAGTGTATCTTTTATCATTCAAACGTACAAGTTCTAACATTTCAATTTTAAAAACGTTAGCTCGACATAGACATCACAAACTGTCAGAAGACCAATCACGTCGTGTCCCTGTGTTCCTAAGTTCAAATAAACTACCCTTTGAAGCGACGAGTAGAAGTAGTACAGTGGAGAGGAAGGGAAACGATCATTAGGGTGACGATCTCCCACAAAAAAATCAGGAGAAGCAACTGAAACAAGGAACAGAAATATAGCTCCCTCCATGAACAACTTTACAACAACTTAGATGCATTATCTTCATTTACAGCCGGCCAAAAGCTTATTGACACAACAAATGAAATCAAGTAAATATTTGGGCAGAATGGAAGAAACTGCATACGAAAGCAATCGGATGCAATAACGCAACCTATAAATTTGATAATCTAATCCCACATTCTGGGATTCAATAAATAGAAGTAAGTCAGGTAACTAACGATATAATTTTGTGACCAAACAAAGAAAAGGATCATGGGTTTCAGATTATCCCCCGAGCCAATGAAATCCTAACTGGATAAGATCTGTGTATTCTGCGTGTAGTAATTGGGACCTTTTCCGTAACAAGACTGTTGGAATCATTCATCTTCGCACTGGTGACTGAATTTTCAATGTCGCTCAATCCATTTGTTTCGGAAATGAATTGAAGCCCCTGAAAGTTTTAACATAACCATTAGAGTCATTGGAGAGCCACAGTAAAGGAAGTGACAATATATCCTTGAGATCATACCTTTGCAGAAGTCTCTTCATATGGCAATCTCAAGTTGTTGGCTAGTGTGCCACTGACATCCTGCCAACGTAGAAGGCGAAAACTAGATGCATAAATCTCCTTGCAGACAAGATTCGTCACTCCTCACTTGTCAATAATACAAAATCCACATCCAAATATTATTCAAAGGATTATTCTTCTTTTTTTTTCAACTCAAAGGAGGCTGACCTTAATCTTTCTGCTGTTTTGGGCATCTTGAAAACCATCCGCTAGTTGACAGAGATGCCATAAACCCGAGTTGGTGACATCCTGCATAAATCAACAGACCAAGTAAAGTTGATCAATTCCAAGAACTATGAGCAATACTTCTTAAAACAGGCGCATGAATATGTTAAAAAATCTCACCTGTTTGCTCTCAATCAACTCAATTTTGTCTTCCTGTCAAAGAAGAAAATCAACATCAGGGCTATCGGAATGCTCACCAAGCAAGTTCCAACTTTCACTCCAGCAAGTCAAGAAAGCTTAATCATTACAATAACATAAGTCAAAATTTCTGCTTACCAACCCAGAAACCATCTGGTGGATTACTTCAACATTGAGCCCTATTTGAGATAGGTTCAACTTCACGTCAAATACCTGCATTAGTGCAGGTATAAATTAACAAGTACATGCGCGCATTATGCTCGACTAAGCAGAAGATTGTACTGACTATTGACTATCAAGTTGGTTCTTTTTTTTTTTTCGGGGGGGGAGTTTTATGAGTCATCTAAATGCATATTTAGGCAGATGCATATAGATACATTCCGTTAGAAAGAGAATTCATTACATCATCTGCAATAAGCTTGGATATCTCCTTTTGCTCGTCGAGCTTCCAATCCAAGCTCTCAAGCCTCTTTGATAGGTGCCTCCTCGTTGTCTGCATATTTGATGCTTATAGTATATTAAACATGCACGAAAAGAACCTGAAAGGAGTAATTATAGATTAACATCATCTCTCTTGACTTACTGCCAATGTTTGAGACACATTCTCTAATTGTTTTGACACAGTTTCAACAGCATTTGCCATATTGCGCTTTGTAACAAACATTGCATCAGTGAATGACCAGCCCTGTAAAGTCCATTTTTATATCAGTACATGTCCTTGTAACAGTAGTCGGCAATAATAAGGGTGCAAAGGAACACAAATCAGTAATATTTAGGCAGCAAAAACTGTAAGTTGAGTATGGGTCAAAAACATTGCCTTCCACCACATGTAACAATACCCCATTGCTCCAAGTGCAGCAGCTGGTACTAGGTAAGAAGCATAACTCCCTGCAATCACAAACAACAAAAGTATCCATAAACAAACAAGCAATCGATGATGCTAACATGAGATATTATGATAAAAAACTACGAACAAGTAAAAAAGCCAGAGCTGCCAGATGATTGAAACACAAAAGCACAAAATACGCAAACCTTTTTCACCCTATTGCATAATTTACACAGGTCAGGCACCATAAATCATTTAACTGGCAGCTCTACCATTTGCAATCAAAATGAAGGCGTTGGTTGGAGTATAAAGCAAAAACTTAGCAAGTACAAATCTAGCAAGCAGTTCCCTAAAAATGCAACTAAACCTCCGAATTGGACACGGAGATTTGGAAACTGTTCATTGAATCCTCTCGTCAGAGTACTGGAAAGTGGAAACTGTTTCGCTCTCCAGGATATCTCATGTCTTATTAGTTATTCCTCTCAAATGACGGTTTTGGAAGATCACAATGTTGAGTCTAGGAAAAACCCAGTAGAAAGTACAGTGCCCGCATCATTTAATGCACACAGAAAAAATCTCCTCGCAACAACTTTTCCATCATTCACATTATCTACAACTGGAAATTCTTCACCTCTTTCGACTATTCTCACACCTCACTAAAATGGCAGCCCAATTTGCATTTCTGTAGCTTCTTCAGATCCTATCAAACTATTAGGCCTCAATTACCACTCATAAGTCCTGACTTTGATAGTTGGCAACATAACAAGGAAAACCAAGAAGTTGGCAGATGCTATGAAACCACTCATGGACTGTATCCGGTGCTCGTATCACTCTTTCACAGTATCTTTTATTACTTGCTTTCTCTAAGAAGGAACATAACTAATTCCCTCTCCCATTCTTAGTGATCCCAAAGGGATCGTGTTCAAGAAAGAAACCCTAGATGAATAATCCCAGGATTAGACACCGAGGATTCTTGGGAGCAGCTAAAGCAAATTCTACATGAAATTCTCTTTAGGCAACAAATATTTATTATCATGATATACTTTCAGATTCTTTTCTTCTCATACCCTCAAATAAATTACTCGAGAAAAATTGGCTCCTTCAGACAACTTTTTTCTTTTGATCTAGAAGAATTTTCCTTTAACTGCACTACATGCTGGTAAAAATTCATTATGCTCCTCTTATAAACAAACAAGGTAGCAATTTCGTGAGGAAAGAGCACTTACTCATTTCGTAAAGATTATTTAGAAAAGACAACAAGAAACGGAAAATCTTTTATTAGACACAGTAAATAGAAAAGCTGTGACATCATCGAGCCATATAAGCTTTGCAATGTAGTATAGGAAAAAATGTCCATACCACTTGACGTTGAGTTCCCATTATAGATGGTTATCGGATTGGACAAGGATAACTCCTTGATATCTTGTGCCAATTGCCTAATCTGAAGGCACAAAGAAAAATGAGGCACTAAGAAAAGGAAATTTCTGTTGAGGATAAAGAAGAGATGGATGTGAATCCCAGGAGAGTGCATGGTCTGCTCATTAAAATATCAAGAAAGATTAATGATAATCGCAACTGTATGCAATGAGATTAAGTTGAGCATAACCAAGTAAACCTCTATATGCTTAGGTAAAGTGTCAATTTCAGCAACTAGATAATCTATTCATCACTCTTCATTAACTATCATTATCAGTTCAAGCGAAAGTGATGACCTTCAATAGATATAATAGACAATCCTCAATCCTCTCACGTCAGGACAAAGGATTCTATTACTAAGCCAAACATGTGCATCATCCTTCTATATTCACTCAACACTATAATTCCAGACAGTGCAGTATTCACCAACAAAAATGGTTACTCAATTGCATAAGGATCTCTTACTTATAAAAAAAAACTCTTTGTCAAATTTAGAGGCTAACGAATGCATCAAAAAATGAAGTTAATTAAGGATAGCAAATAGCTGCGCAATACCTGAGCTGCAAGAAGAGCGCTGTCGAACTTGTTGGACGAGACATTGGCCTCATCCACGCCCTTCAGAATTTCCTGAAGCTGTGAAACGAGCTCCGCAAGTCGTCCGCTATTGAAAACAATCGAACCAGTCAAACCTGTTGCACCATAAACGGAGACAGACGGCCAAAGGTTATCGGAACTGCGTAATCAGTCAGACGACTGACAAGTGACAAAAACTCAATCCTCGACCCAACAAAACCAAAACACTTTGTAGCAAAGAGAGCTCATTGTCTGAATTCAGAGCGAAATATTTCAACTATTGAACTTAACAAGACAATCTTCACGTCAACAAAGTACGCCTCATCGACTCATCAGCAGTAAGAACAATCAAAATCATAACCACAAATTAACGACTCTATTCACAAAGCAAGGCTCAAGAGCAATCAAAATCACCGCGTCGGAGCTGGAAAATCAACCGAGAGAGACACATTTGGAAACTTCAACACGAATCCCGAATCAAATCCAATCCGGCGACCAAATCACAGGTCCGATGGAACCGCCGGTGGTCGCGATCGAACGTGCGGAAGCGGAACGGACGAGGGCTATTACCTGCGCCGACGAGGATCAGGACCTTGGAGCTGGAAACCCCAGTCTGCAACGCCATCGCTTTCCTCCCGATTGTCGCCGCGAAGCTGCTCGGCGAGGAGCTAATATCGCCGCGTTAAGCTCCGCAATCGGCGGATTTCTTGCCGCCGCGAGCTCGAGAGTAGAACCAGAGCGGCGCCTCCGCCGCCGCCGCCGCCGCGAGGTTTCGGAGCCAAACCACTCAGCGCGTGAGCTCGTGGAGAAGGAGGAGGAGAGAGAGAGAGACAGAGAGATTACACCGTCCACGACGGTCGTGTTTTGACCGTCGCGGTACTCTATATTTTATGTCGATATAGCTATTAGAAAATAGGAAAAATATCACAAAAAATTCTAAACTATTCCACTTGTTATAAATTTATCTTAAACTTTTTTTTGTGACACGACACGAAAAATCCCAAATTATACTACTTGTGACACATTTACCCCACAATACTTTAGCCAATGGGCATTTTCCTCTTTTTCATTTTTCTATTTTTTTTCTTTTTTTTTTCTTTTCTTCTCTCTCTTCGGCGAGGGCTGCTCTCGCCGACGTCAGGCAAAATCGCTCTCGCCAGATTTAGGAAGAGATGTGTTTTAAAAAGAGAAGACGTGTTCTTTTAGAAATGGTTTTTATTTCTCGTCCAGAAACAGAAAATCTACTTTTTTTTTGTTCTGATTTTTGGTCCATAACCAGTTTTGGAGCAAAAAGTTATTCCAGAAATAGAAAAATAGAATTGCGTTATCAAACGGGTTTCTGTTCCAAACCTATTTCCGTGAACAGAAAACTAGTTCTGGACAAAAACAGAACGGTTATCATGCACACCCTAAACCTTTTTTAGACTAAATTGGTTTCTTCGACCCGGAGCAACCCTGAACTCTCGGTCCTTCGACACCAAATCACCCCTCGCACCGGAGCAACACTGAATTGGGTTCGTCGACCCGGAGCCACCCTTCGCTGATTCATGTTTTGTCCCTCTCCCGAAGCCTCAAGCCGGTAGCCGGACAGCAGATCGCTCCTCGCCCTTTTCAAGTTCATTATCGCAAGGTCCATCGTCAGTTGGATGAGAAGGAGCGCCAATTCCATCTCAGGAGTTTAGAGAGGCCTGGCTTCTTTGATTCCAGCTCGAGTCCATTGTTGACACCAAATCTCTCCTCGCCCCTTTCAAATCCATCATTGCGAGCTCCATTCTCAGCTGGAGGAGCGTCAATTCGATCTAGATTTTGGCGTCCTCTAATCTTCTTCGTTCTGACCGAGTTCTTCCGGTTTGTTCATTCACTCGATTGGAAATGGAGGGGCAATAGGGTAAGCATGGAAGGAGGCAATGGTGCGAACGTTTTGGACCGAAGCTAACCCTGCATGGCGTTTTCATGCATGTCTAAAAATCCGAGTAAGTGTACTGATTTGTAAAAATTGGGACGCCTTCTTTCTTTGATGATTGCAGATTGTTTGTGTGCATATGATGGCAGGATAGTGGATGAGAGTTCAAGCATTGGAAAGTATGAGGAATCCACATATAACTCATTATTCAATTTGGTGTTTTTTGGCCAATAAGCATGCGGCCCTCCTAGTAAAGGGATTAGGGGTGGGGAACACTAGTATCACGGGTGCGGGGTCCAACTCCCGCACTCTACGAGAGGCGGAGCAAAAGTCAGTGTGAGGAGAGTTAGAGACGGGATAGACAAAAAAAAATATTGGTATTTTGGATTTTAAGACCCTTTATTTCACCCAATTGCAAATTTTTGACCAAATTATCCTTGCTTTGTCATTGGAAAAGCTAATCGATGAAAATTTGGCTAGACAACAAATTCAAGCATTTGTTTGATACTAACTTAGCCACTTTATGCCATTATTTAAAATAAGATCCATTCAAAATTCTTCCTTTTAGAAACAGCTCCGCTCCATGCCTTCATTTAAAATTTTCCAAAATAATTTTAATTGGGAGCAAGACCATATAAAAGCGATGTTATCTTTTCAAGAAAAAACTTAAGGATGCATAGATCAAATGATTGAATTTCTTTGTTCGCGAAACAATTAATTAATTGAAAAGCCTCGTGCGCAGCACGAGTTCAAGGATTGGTATGATTTGGAAAATAAATAACATTTGAGGTAGAATCCACTCGATCGGCGAATGTTCATAATGTCCGTATAAGTAATTGGCAACCCTTTTCTTCTAATGGAGAAAGTACAAATTTTATAGTATAGCATGACTCTCAGCTAAACTTGGGAGAAAACATATTGCCATCTTCCTTTGGCTAACTCAGCATTTCAAAAAACTTTATCTATTGATCATAACGAGTGCTCTTGAGGTATTTATTAAGGAGACATTCTTTACGAGTAAAAATGTAATTTTGAAATCCACAATTAACTATAGTGCCAAAGATGATCAAATAACAATGCCAAGGCCTGCTCTGCAACCCTTTTCCTTGATCGAATTATCATGTGAATACCACCATCCATAGCAAGTGCGCTTAACAATTTCCTCTCTCCTTCTCTTAAGGTTTCCTCTCTTTCCCGGCCGCCAGCCCCTTCTCTGAAGTTCCATTGCTCAGTCTCCCTCCCTATCTCCCTATCTCTTCCTCTTCAAGACTTCTTCGTTGATTTCGTGGAAGACGCTGTTTACTTCCTCCACGGAAGTGGAGAGTATTGTCCCTGTGAGCTCTAAAGATCGAAGTGCAGGTGTCTCTAAAGAATATGCTCTCTCCGGATATGCTCGCTTGCTTTGGCTATAGATTCTTGCTCTTGAAAGTCGAGCACTCCGCAAGTCTCCAAAGCTCCTCTTCCACTGTATTCAATAGTGGGCTTATCTTATTTGAAAGTGATTTTGTGACCAACTAGTATCTATTTTGCAGCTCTTCTCTCTCGATTTAAAGTTAGATCTAGATTTGGGTTCACTTCTTTTTTTATCTAGATATACATCTGGGATTTACAATGCGTTATTTATGCTCTTTTCAACCTATTGGTGTTGTTGTTGTCTCTATATGATTGTCGCGACCTACCCGAATCGGCCCCGCCGCCTAAGGGGTTAGGCTAATGGATTACTAAGTTAAACCTAGCTCGAGCTCTTTCAAGCTCATACCAATTCGCGACTTAAGTTGAAGTTATTAACATGGAAATCAATTTCACCTAGGAGTCGCCACTAATCAGTTTTTGGTAGGTCGATTAGACACCCAAGTAAAATACGGGAGAAATGCTTCACTTCTACGAACTAGAGATTCAATGGGTACGGGAACTTGATTACACTAGCAATCCACTAGTGCCCTTTCGGTACCTAAACTTGATTATTTGCGAATTAACCACTAGTGTCAGAGGGAGAGTCACGGGGAAGAGCTGCCCTTTGTCTTCTCTCTCTCTTATTATTATTTATTATTTTTCATTTTTAAAATTTTTTTAATTTTTTTAAATAAATAAAAATAAAAAAGAAGTAAAATAATCGAAAATATGTTTCACTAAATCTATTAATGCAAATGCGCCTAATGTCTACATGCCACACAATTTAATGAAAATATTTTTGTTTAGGGATTAAAAATCAATCCCTAATTTTTCATGCAATTAAACCCTAAATGAATAGGTAAAATTTAGGTGTCAACAGCTGCCTCTCTTTGAAGGGGAGTTCGAAGAAGTTCCATTCAAAGATAAAAGACACCTAAATTTTATTGGGGGAAGGCATGGGATGGCACAATGCTTGAGACATGGGGGTGATTGATTTTTTTTTTTTTTTACGGATACCATCCAAAAGGGGAATCCTTTTATTCGACAAGGTCTTACCATGTAAGAATGGTTTTGACCAAGAAGAAAGCCATACCGTGTAAGAACGGGCTTTCGACTACATGAAGTCTTGCTATGTAAAGAAGGAAACTCTGGGCTGCGAAAGCTCGCCAGGTCGATGTGGTACTCCGGGTTGCGAAAGCTCACCGGACAAGGAAAGAGAAAAACTCTGGGCTGCAAAAGCTCGCCAGGTCAATGGGGTGTTCCGGGCTGCGAAAACTCACCAGGCAAGGAAAAAGACAAACTCTGGGCTGCGAAAGCTCGCCAGGTCGAAGGGGCACTCCGGGCTGCAGAAGCTTACTGTGCAAAGAAAAGGACTCTGGGCTGTGAAAGCTCGCTAGGTTGAAGGGGTGCTCCGGGCTGCAGAAGCTCACCGTGCAAAGAAAAGGACAGACTCTGGGCTGCGAAAGCTCGCCAGGTCGAAGGGCTCCGGGCTGCAGAAGCTCACCGTGCAAAGAAAAGGACAGGCTCTGGGCTGTGAAAGCTCGCCAGGTCGAAGGGGTGCTCCGGGCTGCAGAAGCTCACCGGGCAAGGAAAAAGACTCTGGGCTGCGAAAGCTCGCCAGGTCGCAGGGGTGCTCCGGGCTGCAGAAGCTCACCGTACAAAGAAAAAGACTGTGGGCTGCGAAAGCACGCCAGGTTAAAGGGGTGCTCCGAGCTGCGAAAGCTCACCGGGCAAGGAAAAAGACTCTGGGCTGCGAAAGCTCGCCAGGTCGAAGGGATGCTCCGGGCTACAGAAGCTCACCGTGCAAAGAAAAGGACAGACTCTGGGCTGCGAAAGCTCGCCAGGTCGATGTGGTGCTCCGAGCTGCAGAAGCTCACCAGGCAAGGAAAAAGACTCTGGGCTACGAAAGCTCGCCAGGTCGAAGGGATGCTCCGGGCTGCAGAAGCTCACCGTGCAAAAAAAAGGACAGACTCTGGGCTGCGAAAGCTCGCCAGGTCGAAGGGATGCTCCGGGCTGCAGAAGCTCACCGTGCAAAGAAAAGGACAGACTCTGGGCTGCGAAAGCTCGCCAGGTCGAAGGGATGCTCCGGGCTGCAGAAGCTCACCGTGCAAAGAAAAGGACAGACTCCGGGCTGCAGCTCGCCGGTCGAAGGGTGCTCCGGTGCAGAAGCTCATAGGGCAAGGAAAAAGACTACGGGGCTGCGAAAGCTCGCCTGGTCGAAGGGGTGCTTCCGGGCGAAGAAGCTCACCGGCAAGGAAAAAGACTACGGGTCTGCGAAAGCTCGCCGAGGTCGAAGGGGTGCTCCGGGCTGCAGAAGCTCACCGGGCAAGGAAAAAGACTCTGGGCTGCGAAAGCTCGCCAGGTCGAAGGGGTGCTCCGGGCTGCAGAAGCTCACCGGGCAAGGAAAAAGACTCTGGGCTGCGAAAGCTCGCCAGGTCGAAGGGGTGCTCCGGGCTGCAGAAGCTCACCGGGCAAGGA